CATGGGGTTTGGCTTGGGACAGTCCAAACCATGGGCCCGCAGCTGTCAGCCTTAGAGCCAGCCAAACTGGCCAAAAGACTGCTCAAGTCCTCCTTTTCACTCAAGTTCCTACTGTAACTTTTTGATCTTAATCTTTTATTACCTTTTGATTTAAGAAATGAATTCCTTATTTAATTTTAACCTTAGTCACCACTACACACTTTTACACTACTCTTCTCCTTCACAGACTTTGTAATATTTCACCGTACCTTGTGAAATATCAACTAAGTTTGGTTTCCAACTCTCTACCACATGTACATGCTGTGATTATGTAATCCAACTCTTAAAATTTTCTCAGTAGACACTGAGTTTGCATTTTCAGGATCTTCAAGCTTCAGACCCACCCAGAACCAACTCAGACCAGAAATCAGCAAACCTCGACTTGGATTCACCGCCATGTCATCGCCATGTGATTGTTAGGAGTCCCTCACCTATTGGAATCTTCCCACTCATTGTGTCAGGATCACCAATAAGTAAGTCGGTCCTTCAAGTTCAGCTTGCATCTTTCTGCTAAGTTTCTTCTTTGTCTCTCTGAATGATTACTCCATTCTGTTTCTACTAAACCTCTGCCTCAAACTTCATTACATCAAATCAAGTCATCATCATCTTCTCTGTTTCGTGGTATAACTGAAAACCACATAGGTTTCCCTTTAAAAACCCTTGATCTTAGATCTAAAAAATAGTGGCTGGATTGACATATCAATCCCAGGTACCCTTCTCAGTTTCATTTGATTAGGAAGCATAGATTAATTCCGCTTAATAACAGCCATCCTATAAGGAAAGTAAGACTGCATCAAAACTTGATCATAAAATAAATACTCCTTATATACAAGATTCTGGTGAGTGGCCAATTTGTGGTTGGAAGATGAATGGAACAAAATGGAACAAGGAATGAACAAGGAAGAAAATTGTAACTATGAACAATGTGGCCTAATTTAGTGTGGCACTAAGATAAGATAAGACTAGACTGAAACCAAAGAAAGGGCCAAGCAAAGATAAGGTAATGAATTCATTCTGAAACAGAGAGAGGCTTGGATAATCTTATCAAGGGGAAGAGGTGGGGGTAATTATTTCACCCAGGTGCGGATTGAACAGACAATGGGAAGACAGGGCCAAAAGAAGACTAGTATGAAACATAGCTGTTGTGTGGGAATTCTTGGCATAAGATGGAAGGAGATAAGAGATAAGGAATATTTTTTAGAGGGGTTTGAGGTTATATTGAGAAGGGGTACTAGTGTGTAGTTGGTGTGTGGACTAAGTCTTATCAAGAGTGAACTAGGAATTTGGTCTTGGGTTTCATTTGAGGAGTTTCAGAGGTGTGTAAAGATGGACATCGGTACCCGTTTGGCAGTACCCGGCACCCGTTTGCCTGGTACCGCCCAGACCCGCCTGGCACCTGCCAGGGGGTGTCAGGTGAGGTACCTGGTGTCCATTTCTGAGCAAAACAAAGGTGGTACCAGGGTACCGCTAGAGGTACCCTCTTTACTGCGCAGTCACTAAGTAGGGTGATGGCCGTTGCCTTCTACTCAAAAAATGGGATGATAAAGGAAGGGGTGTTGGCCAAGTGGAAAGATGGTATTCAGACTGCTAAGAAGGGTAAATCAGATGGGAAAGGTAAAATAAAGGTGATAGTATTAGAAGATTAGCTCAACACAATACTTACATGTAGTGAGAAAAAAAAGTGAGCTGTAATTTCAAGTCATAAGAGTGCCATTTGCACTGCGGCCGCAGGTACAGCTGGTACCTGCCCAAAGTACAGCTGGTACCCGCCAGGGGGTGCCAGGTGAGGTACCTGGTGTCCATTTCTGAGCAAAACAAAGGAGGTACCAGGGTACCACTAGAGGTACCCAGGTACCGATGGCCATCTTTAGAGGTGTGGAAGATGTCTTTACCCATGAGGGGGTACTTGTGAGGGTTATTGGTTTGTTGCCTTTGTTTGAGAGCCTGGGGAAACTCTTGAGGGGTCTTGGGTCTGTGATTCTTATGTGATATGTAGTCTTGCTGTGCCTTGAGGTTCAGGATTGGCTTACCACACTGTGTAACAGAAAAGTGTTTAAAAATTTTGGCTGATGATTACTGCAACATGAAACAATATGAAAAATATGTTTCAGTTTTGAAATTTGACTCTGAGAAATGCCAACAATCTATTCTTGAATATGTATATTTTTCCCAAAAAGTTTAGATAAGAGTGACCTTGATTACACATCCCATTACTCTTGATAGTTTTTGATGAATCAGGCTCCAAAATTGGTCTCTCAACACTTATCTTGAAGAAATGCTGTTAATTTTCATCTTGATGGTTGCTGTGGTTATATATTTTAATGATTGTTTACATGATTCCTCAGTCAGCCAACTACTGGAGGACTTCCCATCATACAAATTTGTTAATTTAGAAGGAAATTTTAAACATTATTTGCTGGTTAAAATTGATTGAGATCAAGTTTTCACCAGCAAATAAAGTTCAGGACCCCCTTCTAAATCAAGTGCTTTAGGTGATGGGAATTCCCCCAACCATTGCTTATTCTGTATGATTAAAGTGATAATCTTAACAAAAATTGTACCTGTTCCAGATCAAATTAGTACAATGTTGGTGTTTATCTGGAATCATCAAATACAATCCAAAATAAATAAGGATGGTATACTATGTACTCCAATACTGTGAAGCAGATTCATGTTTCATGAGTTTTGACTCATGAGTACTGAAACATGAACCAATATGACAATTCTGTTTCAGTTTTGAAATTTGACTCTGAGACATGCCAACAAGCTATTGTTGGATGTATACATTTTCCCCAAAAATCTTAGACAAAGGTGGTCTCAATTCCACATCCTAATTTTCCTCTGATCAAGCAGGCTCAACAATTGGTATCTCAACAATTTTCTTGAAGAAATGTTGGAAATTTACATTATGGTGTTTGCCATGGTTAGATATTGCCATGATTGTTTACATTATATCTCAGCCAGCTAACTACTAATTAATTATTCTAGATTTTAAAAGTAATAATTGCAACACCAATGCCAACTGTTCCAGATCAAATTGGTAAATTGATGTTTGTGTTTATCTGGAGACTCATCCAAGTCAAGCCTAACTAAACAAGGCTGGTATAATATTTGCTTCTTGACGTTTTTGGGCTCAAAAGCTATACTAAAATCCAGTCAACAGCACAGAAAACGTTCCTTGAATCAAGTAAGTGATTTGCTTAATGCCTCATGAGACAAGAAGGTGGAAATACTGACCTGTTTTCATTCAATGGGGGATTTCTGGGGATTATTTAATGCAAAAGCAAAGTTCCTCAAATTGGTGTTCAATTTGCCGGGATACTATATCACCAGATGCTCCACTGTTGTATTGGCCAGGTTGTGAGCATCCTTTTCATAAGGCTTGTGTGAAGCCTTGGCGCACTTCCCAGCCAAACAGGACATGTCCAAACTGCAGAGCACCTGATGCAACATTGGCAGCAAAATCAACCCACCCAAACCAGGTAAGCAAGCTCTGAAAGCATAGGTTTGAACCAAAAAGACATTTTGAGCTTACTTGGTATGGTCTTGTTGTGTCAGTCTGCACGGTCTGAACAATGTTTTGAGTGTTCTAGGATATGTCAAGCCACAATCTTCACCCCCCATTCAACCACTTTTTATTGTCCACATTGTGATCAATTTTGGGAACGGTTTCATAATTAGAGCAAACTTGGCTTCATGTAGCTGTAATAGAGCATTTTTTTTGCTGCAAATCAACAACATCTACACAACATTTTACAAAGATGTTTCCTTTATTGAAACTTCTGATCTCCATCTAATTGGGTCCAAAAAATCTGTAAACTCTGAAACTCCAATTCACACACTAGGTGGTGCCCATCATCAGAGTGGCTTTCTTATTCCAATTCTCATCACATGACAACTTCTACATTTTGGACACAACTG